ATGAGAATCTTATTGTCCCAGTCTGGGGATAATTAGCTAGGAGACAGTGTTCCAAGCTACCTAACCCAGGAGTTTGGATGGGAGTCTTAGAGAAAGAAGAGATTTTGTTCTGGGCAGATACACCAAAAAGTATATAGTAACCTGGCATGGCCATGCCTTCTGGTCTGAACTGAGCTAGGCCTTCTACTGGTCCTGCAGTATCTGCAGTGCCGTTGCAAAGCAAGACCTCAGTAACTTTAGCAGAAGTCCTGGTTCCAGAAGGGGGCAATGTGCAAGACTAGAAAAGGAGGCATAGAAAAAGATGGGATCAGGAGATGGCAGTTCAAAGAAGTAAGTGAAAGCATCTTGTGGAAAAGAACTAGAAATTTTGAAACATAGACTAAAACAAGAACACATGGTTGTGGGAAAAAAAGCTAATTAGAAATATGGCAAATAAAGCATAGTCATTAGGAAAAAATAAATAGATGGGATAAATTCTAAATTGGACACAGAGAGAATTGCTAAATTAGAAGAGAAGGCTGAGGATTATATTCAAATTTGTAAAAGAGGTAAGTCAGGAACTGCTGTAAATTTTATATACACCCACACATATTCTCTCTTTCTCTCTCTCTCTCTCTCTCTCTCTCTCTCTCTATCTCTCTCTATTTTGCATTTACTCCCAAGGCAATCCTACTCATTTAATAAATATATATTGTGCCTACTATATGCCATTGGCTCTGTTATTTCTCTGTTGCTGTATATCAATTGCTCCAAAATTAGTGGCTTAAAACAACCTACATGTATTATCTCATGCATTTTCTGTGAGTCAGGAATCTGGGAGTGGTTTAGCTGGGTAGTTTTGGCTCAGGGTCTCTAAGGAGGTTGCAGTCAGTTTGTTATGTGGTGCTCCAGTCATCTCAAGGCTTGACTGTGGCTGGTGGATCAGCCTCCAAACTCATGCAGACGTTGCTACAGTTCCCCTTTAGCTTGTGGCCAGAGGCCTCTGTTCTCTCCACCTAGGTCTCTCCATAGGCTAAATGTCCTTATGACATGGCAGCTGGCTTCTCCCAAGGGAACAAGTTGGGAGGGAGGAAGCCAAGACAGGAGCCACAGTCTTTTTATAACTTCATTATTCAGGAGAGTTCTAAAACAGAACCCATAGGAGATAAAGATATTTATTATAAGAAATTGACATGGTGATAAGGCTGATGAGTCTCAAAATCTACAGGATGAATTGGCAAACTGGAGACCCAGGAGAGCTGATAGTGTAGTTCTAGTCTGACAGGTAGCTGGCTTAAGACCCAGGAAGAACCGATGTTTCAGTTTACATCCAAATTTAGGAAGAAACCAATGTCCCAGTTTGAAGACCATCAGACATTGGTTTCTTCCTGAATTTGGAAGAATTCTTATTTGAGGGAGGGTCAGCCTGTTTGTTCTATTCAGGCCTTTAACTGATTGGATGAGGCCTACCCACATTAGGTAGGGCAATGTGCTTTATTCAGTCTACTGATTTAAGTGTTAATCTCCCAAAAACAACCTCACAGAAACACCCAGAATTATGTTTAACTAAATATCTGGGCACCCCATGACCTAGTAAGGTTGACACATAAAATTAACCATTATAAATGTAATATTGAAAGTGACCTGGCATCACCTCTCTACAATTTTAAAGTGAGTTGCTAAGTTAAGCCCACTCTCTCAAAGGGAGAGGAATTAAGCTCCATCTCTGGAAGGAAAGCATACAGAATACCATGTGGACATATTTTTCAAACCACTGTAAGCACTGGTATTTAGGAGACTCCAGTGTTCACTGACTAGAAGTTACTGAAGAAAAAAGTGGAAGAAATGGTAGAAAAGTAATATTTGAAGAGAGAATTGTTATGAATCTTCATTTTTCATGAAGAAAGATATGAGTCTTCAAATCAAAATGGGCACTTGGGGTTTTAAACAAAATAAATGAAAATAATTTTTAGACAGATTGCAATGAAATTGCAGGATATAAAAAATAAAGGGACAAGAGCTATTAGAAAAGATACATACCTGCAGAGGAAAACAATTAGATTGACAATAGACTTCTTGTCAAGTAAGAAACTGATAAGCAATGGGGTAATGTTTTCAAAGTGTTGAAAGAAGGTAACTGTGATCTTAAGATTCTAAGTATAGCTAAAGTTTCAAGATTGTGAGCAGATCTCAAATATGTACAATAAAATTTATTTTTAAAAAAGATTGAAGGTAAATATTAAACTAAGTTATTTAACTTCCTGTCACTGAGATTCCCCATTTATGATGATAGGACAGGTAAATAATGATATTTACCTTACAGGTTGTTAACTGTTCCGTTCACTGTTATGTCCTAAGTGCCTAAACAGTGCCTAACACAGAGTAGGCATGCAATAACTGTTCATTAAATGAATGGATGAGTCAATAGGATTGTTGTGAGGATTTATGTATATAAAGACTTTATAGCAATGCCTGACATGTTAATAAGTACTCAATAAATGTTGTTAAGATTTTATCACCCACAGACACTCACTAAAAGAACGATTAAAAATATTTCTCGGCCGGGCGCGGTGGCTCAAGCCTGTAATCCCAGCACTTTGGGAGGCTGAGGTAGGTGGATCACAAGGTCGAGAGATCGAGACCATCCTGGTCAACATGGTGAAACCCCGTCTCTACTAAAAATACAAAAAGTTAGCTGGGCGTGGTGGTGCATGCCTGTAATCCCAGCTACTCAGGAGGCTGAGGCAGGAGAATTGCCTGAACCCAGGAGGCGGAGGTTGCGGTGAGCCGAGATCGTGCCATTGCACTCCAGGCTGGGAAAAAAGAGCGAAACTCCGTCTCAAAAAAAAAAAAAAAAAAAAAAAAATATTTCTCAACAGAAGGAAAAATTCTTTAAGGAAGTATCAGATATAAAAAACAATTATGACACAGAAATTGATAAAATGCTGTGGATACAAAAATGTAGTGAGATAAGCAAAAAAGACAAACATTAAGAGTTGATAAATTGAGTGGTGGCTACATGATTATGGGTGTTATTTTGGAACCCTATACTTGTTTGTATATTTGAAATTATTCATAGTAAATAAAAATAAATTACCAAACAAGTTCCATTAAAAATTAGTGGACTAGAACTATATGTATCAATATGGACAGATCCTTCACACAGAAAAAGAAGATACAGAAGTATATGCACATTGTAAAAACGTTTATATAAAAGCCATGTAGAACAATATTATGTGCTACTTATGGATACATAATGTATTGTAAAATTATGTATTTCCAAGCATGTTTTAAACACCAAGTCATGATAAATGTTACCTCTGAGGAAGTATGTGAATGGATGGAGGCGTACAAGAATGTAGCCAGATAAGCAAAGAAGGTCAAAATGTTAAGAGTTGATAAGACTGACTGGTGGTTACATGTGTGTTATATGAGAACCTATACTTATTTGTGTATTTGTGATTCTTCATAGTAATTTAAAAATAAATTACCAAACAATTTCTGTGAATTATATATATGTGTGTATCTGTATGTATGTGTATGTTTTTCTAATTTAAATTTTCTTACAATAAGAAAGAGGTTCTTTCTAAAAATTCTAATATTCTGTGGCTCTTACTTATGGAAAAATCTTATAAAACAACCTTTTAATATGGATATGGTCCTGTAAAAAACAAAAAACAAACAAACAAAAAAAACAAATGTCATGTTCATATCTGCTAATAAGTTAAAATAGCTAAGTATTGTGAATAACCTGAAAATTAATTTATTTTTATATACCCTTTCTGATGTTAACATTCTGAGAGCTACTTGGGATTGTCTTTTAAATGTTACATTGAAACTTAAGTATAAAATCAATATAAACTTTTTTGTTTAAATTCAAAGAAATACTCAACAATGAAATAATTAGACTTAAGTATAATAGCCCTCTATGGCCTATTATAACTATTATTATTTTTACTTTAAGTAAGCTTATTTCATGTGAAATATGTTATTACTTTACTTTCTCAGTGAGAATTTTATCTGGGATTTGGCCAAATGTTTTGCATTTTCATTGACACATTCTTCACCTCTCCGTCAACTGATATTTTTTAGTTTCTGAACACGTGGAACAGATTTTTACAGAAGTTGTATAATATCTTAATTTTTAAATATGTTAAAATATATATTTTTCCATATAAGTTTGAGTAGTTTTCTCCTTAATTTATAAAAGAAAAATTAGAAATTTGAATGTTTTTGTATTATTTTGTTTTTCACAATTTTTCATGTAAGACATGTCATGAAATTATAACTTTAAAAAAATATTTTAGGGGCCACAATCCATGATTATGCATCAGTCTTTGGGTTTCTTTAGTGGTGAGACCGCTTTCATTGCACAGGACAGATGGGCTTAAATGGCACGAACATGACTAGAAAGTGCATGTTATGTATGTTTCAGTCAGCATGTTGCTACTGACAGGTGCTCAATGGTTGTTGGTATCCTTGTCAGCAAAGAGAATCCTTTGACATTAAAGTCACCAGCTCCTTCCTGATTTGTGGTGACTCTATTGGCAGTTCCATCAGGCTGCAGCTGATGAGTGAATGTCAGAGCTGCAGCTGTTCTTCAGGAGTGTCACCAGCCTGCTGTGGGTTTTTTGTCCTTTTTTTTGTTTTGTTTTGTTTTTTGTTTTTGGAGGGAGGAGTGGTTTAGCTTGTCTTGTTCAGTCTTAGCCAGACTTTCAAACTGCTTACCTTTGGTAAATGAACCAAGAGGCCATAGGGAATATAGGTATCTTTAGAGCATGCAAAACCATATACAAAGTGAAGACTTACATGGAGACTGGTAATGATTACCTTGACTCCAAGCCAATCAATGGTGGAGCCTCTGGGGACTCATTAAATGGCATTTGTGGACTCTGTAACCTAGCATTTGAGCTGCATTTCAGGAAAAGCAGTGACAGCCTTTAATGTCTAATTGACCTCTTCTCTTTGTTTCACTTTCATTCACTTTCCATATTTGCCTCTGATGTGGTCCCTAATGGCAGCAAACAGCACTGCTCAGCATTTTGAACTTCTGTTCAGAGCTTCAGCACCTCAGTTTGGGCAGTTGTGTCATGGTAAGTATTTGAGAATTCTTTATACTACTCAATTACTTGTTCTCTTTTCTTCCTGTGGGTGAAATTTATCCTGACTCACCCTACCCCACACACATCCAGTTTTTCAGATTTATGGTTCTCTTCTTTGTCCCTTGCTTTCAAACATGTTTCTTAAATTGGAAAGTATGTCTTTGAAACACTGACATTATTTATCCAGGAGAGCAAGGAAAGAAGTATAGTGTGGTGGAATATAGTATAGTTCTGCCCCAAACCAGATGTTATCTCCAACAAACTATTCACCTCTCTAGGTTTCTTCACAAACTAAGATGTCAGTCATACCCAAATGCCAATAGTTTAGTAAGTTTTTCACTGACCTAATTTATCTTTTAAATTCTGAGATAATTTTCTTGAAATTTTAATGATAATAGATAGGTTTATTTAATCCGTTTGTTTTTGTGTTTGTTTTACTGTCCTTACTGGTCAAAACAGAAAGATTAGCACCCTTTGTTGGAACTCTTTTTGTGTGTGTGTGTGGAAATTTGACTGGTCTGTGAAATCTAAAAGCCCAGGGACTCTTGGACTAGATAAGCTTTAAAGTCTTTTCAGATTTGAAGTATGATTTTATGTGCCCTTGAAAGAGCTCATGGGAAGAGTTAAATCTTTTAATCTAAACCACATAATTACATAGCTTTTAAATAATACCGAGAAGTGAAGGACAATAGAAATCTTGTGTGGAGAAGGTATGCATGTGCATGTGTGTGTTTGTGTTCACACATACTGTTAAGCGAATCTTCTAGTATAACTGACTGGAAGAATTCATTCCTCCTCACTTCCTCCCCTGCTCTCTAGAACAATGTAGGTTTAGGAGATCCCCAGAGCATTCCAGTTTTGCCTTGCATTCACTTAGTAGGAAGACTTGAATAAGCAAAATGATTGCAAGATTCTAGAAAAGTTCTGGTATGCTAGATTTAGAATCGAATAGACAGGGTCCCGGACCTAAAATAAGTCCCATTTGAACATCTCTTAGAGCTCGCCATGGCTTCGGGAATATCCCAGGATTTGGCAGTGTAGACTAAGTAGGCCTTTTATGATGACATGTTTATCTCCATGTCCCGATGGTCTTTGAAACCTTGTGGTTTGCTTTTATTAAACCCCAAATATGGGATCAGGCCATCCCAGTCTCTAGAAACAGTCTTGGGAGCCCACTAGATTTTCCTCACTTCTAGTCAAGTTCTTACCATAGTAAGCCATTTGATAGGCTTCTGTGGGTCTCTCTAGTGACTCTTCTAGATGGGCCCAGTGACATTTGATGGCAGTTTCTGTCACAACACACTAGCCAGCTACTGCCACTTGGATTTTCCTTATTGCTAGCCTGCCCTCTTTAGGTTGACTTTGCTGTTTAACTTTGCTTGGATGTACCGTATTGTGCTTGTTACTTACCTCCCCTTAAACTGGAGCAACATTCCTTAGAAAATCAAGCCTCTGACCGTAGACACTCTATTACTGGAATTATATATATGCTTACAGTTGGAATCGTATTAAGTTAGCATTTTCCAGAGTTGACCCATGGAAAATTAGTCCTAAAGGATAATCAATTTTAAAGGCTGTGTATTTGGGAGTGGAGTGGAGATTTCTAGTGAAATTAGGAAGACAAGTATGGTTGCTCACACCTGTAGTTCCAAATACTCTGGAGGCTGATGTAGGAGGATTTCTTGTGCCCAGGAGTTCAGGGCTGCAGTCAGATATGGTTACACTGCTGCACTGCAGCCTGGTCTTAGAGTTTTACAATGGTGTATTCTACAGCAAAGAAACTGTTTACCTTTGCTAAAACCAATGTTTTCCAACCTTGCCTGACTACTGAACTCATTTTACTATATTATATTTTATTGTTGACTGTCAATATAATGGCAGTTATTAGATTTGTGGTATTTATGAAGCAGTTGTTCACAGAATACATAGGTCACTGTGTTGACTTTGCCATGGTGATTGTGATCTATTATATACCTTCGCTGAGTATTCTCCTCATGGCATACTTTCTCTGTAGTAAGTTTAATGTAGATACTAAATTAGTTATACCACTTTTTTTCTGAAACTAAACTTTGTGCTACAAGTGCCAGTTAGATTTGCAGTGACAAGAACTTCTGAGAAATAGTGTCTCACCTGTAATAAACCTAAGTAGTCTAGTCAGTGCTATAAATATTCTTGTAGGACTCCTTAGAAACACTTATTTTTTCCTCTTGATTGGGAAATAAACAAATTTTATCTATTTCTTTTTACTTTTGAAAATGGGCCGGGCACAGTGGCTCATGTCTGTAATCCCAGCACTTTGGGAGGCCTAGGTGGGCGGATCACGAGGTCAAGAGATTGAGACCATCCTGGCCAACATGGTGAAACCCTGTCTCTACTAAAAATACAAAAATTAGCTGGGCTTGGTGGCACATGCTTGTAATCCCAGATACTCAGGAGGCTGAGGCAGGAGAATTGCTTGAACCAGGGAGTTGGAGGTTGCAGTTAGCCGAGATGGTGCCACTGCACTCCACCCTGGTGACAGAGCAAGACTCCATCTCAAAAAACAAAAATAAAAGTGACTAAAAAAAGTTTAAATTCCACTATTTTTTTTGTATAGTGCTGCTTGAAGTAATTTAAAATTGCCCAAATTAAAGAATCATAGGACTTACCTGGCATTTTCTTAAGTTTCCTACTAATTGTATAATCCTGTTCAGGTCACTTAAATTCTTGCTGATAGTTCCTCTGTGACACTTGTCCTATTTTTAAAATTAGATAATGAATAAGAAAATAAATACGTCTAATCTTTTGGGGGAAAAGAGAGTCCTGTGTAATAACTAAAATTTAGAAGGGATTTTAGTTAATAAAGGAAAGATAGGTTACTTTTGTTCCAGTAAAAAGTATTAAGTTTCATTCTTACTTTCCCAGCCCTGAATTTGGCATGTTGAATAGTGCTGTGAAAATTTCACAACAACGAAAAACTCTTGAAGGAATTTATCATTGTATTCTATTGCTGTTAGAGAATTTGTCCAAATGCCACTGAGATTGCCCAGGCACAAATTGAGCATAATCAGAATCATGGGTTTCAGAAAATTTTTAATTGTTTCTTTCTAAATAAGATAATTGGTTGCCCTACTTATCAAACCTACAGTTTTGTGTTGTTCAGGTATACTCACTTAAGGAGATGGTTTTGTTCCCCCGAATCTGTTTCTCATAGACTTCTGCATGATTCCACCATACATGCAATGACATCCAGAACCTTAGAAATCATTACCCCTATATCTAATCTGTCAGCTTTTGGTTCCAACTCAAAAATACAGCCCCACATCTATCAGATTTCCCCAATTCCATCATTGCCACCTTAATCCAAGCCCCTGTCATCTGTCCTTTACACTGTTGCAGGCTTCTTCAATGAGCTCCCTCCTCTGTTCTTCCCCACCATAGGCCCATCCTCCAGACAGAAGCTTGAGGTAGTTTTGCTTTGGTTTTAATGTAAATAATAATATGTCACTCCTTTGCTTAGAACCCTCCATTGACTTCCTTAGTACTTGAAAGAAAAATCTAACTCCTTCCTGGCCTAAATGGCCTGGGCACTGTATGACTCTACTCTCCATAGCCTGTTTCTTCCCTCACCACCCTTGCACCACATGGATCTCATTTTTGTTTCTCAAATGCGACAGACTCATTCCTGGAGATTTCAGCAATTACCACCCCTTCTCTCAACTCCTGACACTCTGATCACTGTCACATTACCCTGTCTTATTATTTTCCCACCATATGTTACTCTTTGAATTTATTTTCCTTACTTATTAGTCTGTTTGTCTTTCCCAAAAATGTGGACAATGTCTGCTTTTTTCAGTTTACTGCTGGTCCTAGCATATGGAGTGGTGCATAAATATTTGCTGAAAATACAATTAAACAAAAGAACAAAAGGAGATAATCATTGTAATTGTTTACTATTTTGTTTCCTTTTGATTTCTTATGATTATTTTAATATCTGATTTTAACAAAATCAAATGAACCTCTTAAAAGTACCTATTTAAAGAAACATTATTAAAGCATATAAAGCCCAAGAACTGAAATGTTTAGTCCTTGATTAGTAGAGTCTTACCCTGGAATTATGAGGTAAGCACTGGATACCTCCAATAACTGACAGTTCATTAAAATACTGTAGTCTAAATTATTTTCATGTTGTATATGCACTCCCCAAATGCCTCATTTACCAAAACTAGTATCCTTATTAGGACTATCAGCATTTCCACATAGTATTTTAGAGCCTACCAGATGCCACATCAGGAAGATCTTATATACCTGCCAAAGTATATTAGCCATATATAAAATGGAAGAAAGTAAGTCCTGTCACGAGTAGCAGCAGCAAGGTTGAAATGGTGGGCATAAAAGAATAACACATAACTCTTTAATTTTTCATGAGAGACTGAAAACGTCAAACTGCTTTGGGATTTAATTCATTAACATCTTCTGTCTGGAGTTCTCTTAAACAGATTTTTAAATAAATGATTCCTCTTGGCTGTTTTATGAAACAGTGGTAGATCTGTGAGATGAGTGGGCAGTTCTGTGTTAACAAAGATGTGTATTTGTTGACATGGAAGCAAAACAATGGGAGATAATTAAGAATCTGACTTATTCTAAATAGTTTGCATGTCTGAGCATAACACATATTGGAATTGTTTGATTTTCAGATTGAAGACTATGATGTGATAGCTAGCATGATAGGAGCCAAATGTAAAAAACTCCGGACCCTGGATCTGTGGAGATGTAAGAATATCACTGAGAGTGGAATAGCAGAACTGGCTTCCGGGTGTCCGCTTCTGGAGGAGCTGGACCTCGGCTGGTGCCCAGCTCTGCAGAGCAGCGCCGGGTGCTTCACCAGACTGGCGCGCCAGCTCCCAAACCTGCAGAAACTCTTCCTTACAGCTAACAGATCTGTGTGCGACACAGACATTGAAGAATTGGCATGTAATTGTACCAGGTTACAGCAGCTGGACATATTAGGTAAGGATACAATATATAAGTTTGTTTTAAATGCCTGTTTCCTTGACTGATCTCAGACTTTTTGTAAGGAGAAAGAAAAATTTTGGATACAATAAAAATTTTGTCCTGTGAGACTGCTTGGTTTGATAGAAAATGCAAGATAGATCTGTTAATATAGGGAATAATTATACATGTACTTTAATAAAATAGGACAATAACAGAATTTTATAGTTGAACCTATCAAAAACTCTAAATAACCATTAATTCTTGGTCTAGTTGGAAGAGTGAAAATTTACATGAGCTGTGCTCTCTATTTTTATTAAGGAGAGAAAAGAAAGAAATTTGATAATGAATGCTAGCTAGTTTTTTTTAAGTTTTTAATTATTGATTAAGAAATATCATGAAATCTTTATCCCTGATAATGCTAGCATTTAGGAATAGTTCTACCCCAGGCAGATCTATTTAAAATCTTTTCCAACTCTGGTATTTCTTATATCCTTACCGCCTTCATCAGAAAGGAACCTTATGTAATTTTGTTACTTCTTACTTTAAGCCAGGGGTGCTAGCAGTGTCACAGTAGTTATCATTGTCCACACAATTGGTACTTTGTGAACTCACATCACACTTGCACATTTTACATCGAATGCGTGGTGAAAATAATTTTGAACTGGGGTGACAGAAATAGGAAAGTCTGGAGGAGCTGATTTGAAGGGGTAGGAGGTAGGAATGAAGATAGTGGGTAGGATATTGGCAAGATTCAGGTCCTAGATGCTAAATTGTCTGGGAAAATTCAGTTTTTACTTTTTTAACAGAATGATTTCAATATGAAGTCTTGTTTGAAAAACAAGTGATTTTAATTTGAAAAGCATTATTTATTTTAAGTTCATTGCAAATAATAAATCATGAATAGATTCATTGTTAGCACATTATATAAATGTTATACTTAAAGTTTTTTTTGTTTTTTTTTTCCCCCCCCTTAAATAGGAACAAGAATGGTAAGTCCGGCATCCTTAAGAAAACTCCTGGAATCTTGTAAAGATCTTTCCTTACTTGATGTGTCCTTCTGTTCACAGATTGATAACAGAGCTGTGCTAGAACTGAATGCAAGTTTTCCAAAAGTGTTCATAAAAAAGAGCTTTACTCAGTGACTTAATATATGTTCTGTAATAATGTGCTTTGGTGGGGTTTTATTTTAGGATTGGTTTTGGGTTTTGTTTTTAGTTGTTTTAATGGTCAGAATTAAGACATTTGTAGATTTTAAAGAAAAATATGAAATTGTTCATTAAATCAAGTAAAAATGTGCACAAATGTTTTCATATAATATTGCAAGCACTTTTCTTCAAGAATATGTGAGTGGATGATATTATTTTTACCTTACGTTAATCAGTGATACTGTGCTTTAGTCAGTAATTAATGTGATTGATAAAAGAATAACATGGAGACATGCTAACTTATTTTTGAAGGAACACTGAGCAATAAAGTATCATGGTATTTATGCAAAAAAAAAAAAAGTTAATTTTTTACACCTCCATGTAAAGATGTCTTATTAAGCCTGTGACCTGGCAAGTGTTTTTGTTTGGTATGTACAGAACGGTCAGAGCTAGTTGGAGAAAGAGACACGCTTTTCCAGCTGTTTGGTTATTTCTCTGGATTAAGTGTTCAACTGGAAAATGTGTAGGTTTTCTAGCCAGGTGTGGTGGCACACACCTGTAGTCCTACCTGCACAGGAGGCGGAGGCAGGAGGATCACTTGAGATGGGATTTTGAGAAGCTAGTGTGCTTATGATTGCACCTGTGAACAGCCACTGTACTTCAACCTGGGCAATGTAGCAGGTCCCTTTCTCTTAAAAAGATCAAATTGTAGTGTTTCCGCTTTTCTTCTGATATATTTGTCTATTTCACTACTGGATAATGCCAATATAAAAATATGGGTATAATCAAGAATAAGAGGTAAACTACTGAGTAAAAAAGCTTTCCAACTTTTAGAAGCAGATGCCTTAATATTTTGCCAGAGGTAAAGTTTTGAGGTTTCTGAATTATATGTGGATTTTCCTTATATATTAAAAAATCATAAATGTGGGGAGATGCATGGATATATATAAATTATACACATAAATGATATTTCCTGTGCTCTGTCACCTTAAATATTAGAAATCAACTCTGTGTGGGAGAAGCAGGGGGGACAAAAAATTAAAAACATATTGTTTTGTTAAAAAATGAATTCTGCTACTGAGCAAGATAGATATTATTTTGTGTCATGAAAAGACACAGCTGTTTTGAACAGAAACTAATATTAACTGTGTAGTATAACAAAATTCATTGCCCTGCTCAGTGCAAAATGGTTATATTCCAACATCCACACACCCTAGAGTGATCCTGTAGAACTGTGCCAGTACAGTAACCACGAATCTTATGTGACTATTTTATTAATTTTAACTGAATTCAAGTAAAAATTTACTTTTTTAGTTGCACCAGCTACATGTCAAGTGTTGAGTAGTCACATGCTTCCTTCGTGTCTGGCACTGTTTCTTGGGCTTTGTACTAAGTCAGTTCTCACATCAACCCTATGAGGTAAATGTCATTACTTACCCCCATTTACCGATGAGGAAACTGAGGCAAAGATAGAAGAATTTGAAGAATTTACTCATGATCATATAACTGCTAGGGGCAAAGCCAATATATAGATCCAGGCCATCTGGCTTCTGAAGCAGTGCATTCAACCTGTGCTTTTAAGTGTCCAGGGTAGCTTCTGGCTCTATCTAGGGTAGAGGTCAGGAAACTTTTTCTATAAAGGGACAGATAGTAAATATTTTAGGCTTTGTGGGCTAGGAGGTAAAACTGAGATTGTTATGTAGGTACTTAAATAACTAGAGAGAAATAAAATTTGCACAAAAATTTTATTGACAAAATTCAAAACAATAATTGAGGACAATTTATTTTTGGAATGTGGATTTACTAATGAAAATAATTAAATATTTGGAGGGGGAAGGATCACGTTTCACTTAACTGAGGCTCAGAGTGAATGTTTCCTGTCATCAAAGTTGATTGTAAATACTCATTTGTTAATGCTGATCTTTAATAAGATTTTATGTATTTTACTTTTGAAAACTTCTTACAGATTGGTGTTGTCAAATACTTATATTAATCCATGAGAATATGATTTTTGTTGAGCATATTCATCATTTGGAAGGTTACTTTTTGATATTTTCCTTTTAGCATGTTATTACATTGAGCCTTAATCACTTCCAAAGATTAGGTGGAAGCTCTTCAATTGTACTGTTAGATCAGTTTTTTAAAAATGGAAAGTTCCTTTGCACTTGCAAACTCCAAAAAACACTGTGAGAACTATAGTGTGAGCTACAAATTTGCGTGAGAATGGAGATCCTGCTTCTTTGTCTTACCTTTTGATAGCACAGGAAATGTGTAAAGCAGCTTGCAGTTGTAATTCAAACAATGTTGTCATCAAAATGACTTAAATATGTTTCACATGTAAACACTTGTTTTGCCTTGTAATTTTGCTTGAATTCATTTCAAAATGTTATTACGTCTTGAGCAAAAGCTAAATTCCAAAGGAATTCAATGTTCCTTAACAGTGGTTGAGGATATGTCTTCTTTTTCAGAAAAATGTCAGTATCAGCCTTGAACTCAAAAGCTCACAATAGAACTAACACTATTATGCCAATGTGGTTGGGCAAATCAGAATTTTCATCTTCTGTATCTGACAAAAGATAACTGAACCATTAATGTTTAATCTGTCAGAAACTGTGGGAGCAAATGAAGTTCACCATTGATGCCGCTAGTTTAATAATACAAAATGGAGTCAACTGTATCCCACAAAGTACCTGCTGATGAATAATATAGTAAATAATATTCTTACCTTATCACAGGCTTTATAAATTTGGCAAGCTTAATCTTTCTGCATCACACATTTTTAAAACCACCAGTTGTAACACATCTTAACAGATTCTCCTTCAAGTTGCATGAAATTTGTGTTTTCTTCTTAGAAAATATTTATGCTTGTAATTGTTCCACACAGATAATTTATAGACACTAATTTCAATCACTTCAGCATTAGCATAGACTTATCAAATAAGCAGTAAAGGCAGTATCAATAATATCTGTTTACTCATAAAGAGCTAAGGAAAACCACTAAGGGTCATTTGCCTTGTTTTTTATTGACTGGTGATGTTGTTCCCAGTGTTCTCAATTTAAGCAACCATTCTTGCCAAAGGCTAATTTAGTAGTCTTTATCAAGTTTGCTTTGGACACATTTCTTCAGCTGATGCAATCAAACACAATTTAGTCATTATTAGTTGAATGTTTTCCTTGCTTGGTTAACAACTGAGTCACTTTGGCTACAGCTTTATTTTCATTTTTGATTTTTATAAATTTTGTAATAAGATCTTATTTTAAATGTTCTAGTTTTTCTAACAATTACATTGATGAGTGTTTAGTCTGGTAATTCCAGCATATATAGTATTTTTTTTTTTTTGAGACAGAGTCTCATTCTGTTGCTCAGGCTGGAGTGCAGTGGCATGATCTCAGCACACAGCATCCTCCGCGCTCCAGGTTCAAGTGATTCTCCCACCTCAGCCTCCCAAGTAGCTGAGATTACAGGCACATGCATCAATGCCTAATTTTTGTGTTTTTAGTAGAGATGGGGTTTCACCGTGTTGTCCAGGCTGGTATTGAACTCCTGACCTCAAGTGATCTACCCACCACAGCCTCCCAAAGTGCTAGGGTTACAGGCATGAGCCACTGCAGCTGGGCACCCTGTAGTATTCTTTAAGAACAGCTATGATGACATTGCGTATTAAACATCATACTCTGACATCTAATTTGATCTTTAAAAAATCCATATACTACTGTGCCTTTAAAATGTCACTTCAAGTCTACTTTTCTTTTTTTTCTTTTGTTTTGATGTCATGGATAAACACTAGTAATAAAAAGTTTAAAAATATTGTGGTATGACAATATGTGTGGCACTCAAAATGCTGGTAACTGTATTACTGCAATTTGTAGTGTGCCAAGTAGCAGTGCAAAATGATGACAGCACCACATAAGTCTCTGTTGCAAGTATTCAGCTCTGCTATTGTAATGTAAAAGCAATCATAGACAATACCTAAGTGAATGAGTGTGGCCATGTTCCAGTAAAATTTTATTTATGAGCACTGAAAGTTGAATTTCACATAATTTTCATGTGTTACAAAATACTACTCTGTTAGCCATTAGACTTTTTCAGCAATTAGAAAACGTAAAACTATACTTAGGAGCTGGCTGGATTTGGCTTGTGGACCAAATTTGTGACCCCTACTCCAGAGTATTCTCAAGTCCGTTAGTCCATGTGTGCCCATTCTTAATTTTATAAGCCACATTCAAACCTGTTCTCAGCTGTTATCTCTCTTATTTTGCCATTTAGATTTTAAAATGAAGAACAGTGTTTTGTTAGAAAAAACAAAGTGTTTACTATCACAAGATAGATATGTAGACAAGAAAGATATTTATGTAGACTCTCTGTTCATTAAATTTTGAAGGCAGATGACTCATTGTTAGCTTTGACAACTGACTTAAATTTTTGTGTAATTATTTTCTTCGCATTTTGCTCAGGTAAATTATCTTCCCAGAATCTAGAAATAAAGATATCCCTGATCCTGTTTGAGAGCAGAGTTAAGTGATCCTCTCAGTGTAAATTGGTTTAAAATAAGATCTTCAAAATACAAAATGCAGACAATTAATATTCAGATGCTTAGTTTTGAACCAATACATAGCAAAGAAAAACTAATTTTTCTGTGTCAGTGTTTTTATTTTTTGGCATTTCCCAGGAATTAACTGAAGACTAAAAACTCATGTGCAAGTGTAATGACACTAACCAAAGAGTCAGTAAAAATTACATTTGCCTACTATGTGTGTGTGTATCACTTATTTGAGACAGGGTCTCACTGTTGCCCCAGGCTGGAGTACAATGGCATGATCACAGCTTATTGCAGCCTCAGTCTTTCAGGCTCAAGCGATCCTTCCACCTCAGTCTCCCAAGTACCTGTACCTGGGACTACAGGTACCACCACTTCTGGCTAATTTTTCATTTTTCATGGAGATACAGTTTTGCCATGTTGCCTATGTTGGTCTTGAACTCCTGGGCTCAAGTGATCCTCCCACCTTCGCCTTCTGAAGTGTGGGATTACAGGTGTAAGCCACTACGTCTGGCCCATGTATGTTAGTAGTGAATGTTCGGATTTTCATCTGTTACTTTCAGCTATTAAAGGATACCTATTACAGACACAGTAATTTTCATTTTTAAAGTCATTTATGACACATTTATCAGTGTTGCATCTGCTTTTCTCCCTTTAGCACATTTGATATTGATACTTCAGAGAAACTTTTTAACTACCCTTGAAAGCTTGTCAATGACCATTAACTGCCAATCACCTCATTTGCTTATTGAAAACATATTACTAGAAACCTAGGCTGTGAGTATAAATCCATAGCTGTCTGAATAATTTTTTGGCAATAGC